GAAGAGCAGCCATTAGAAAGTTATGTGGGAAAGGGGTGCTGCCAGTTCACAGCAGCTTCACTTCCCTAGATGTTACTAATGTCTGCAAAATCAATGGCAAGCTGGACTGCAAATCCATGGCAACAGCATTTGGGGCAAAATATGATGGTTACCAAAAATCATTTTGCATGAAGCAATAAGAGAATGGACAAAAACGGACAAAACTTTCATCAGAAATCAGCGACTCAAAAAGTAAGAAACAAAGCAAGGTGTGCAAGCAGGAAACTCCCAAAAGCCCAGAGCAACCCGTAGCCTGGCATCAATTGCATTACTCTGGGAACTAACAGCTCAACCTATTGGATAGGTGACACCTGCAACAGGTACAATGATTTCCAGTGTGTGCAAGATAAGTATTTAGAACAGATTCTCTGCTGAGTTTCATTAAAGTCTGAAGCTTGTATTTAAATACAAAAATCACTTCTAAAATACCTTTTTCTTATACAAAATGTAGTTCTATCTTCAGATTTGATTGTCATACGCAATTAGCTGGAGCTGTGAATCACTTTTTTCTCCTTCCCTTCAAAGCTCTTCACTTTAAGAAGTGTGGGACATCAATGGAGATTAAGATCTTATCAAACAGCTCCAAGATTATCCTGAGTAATTTTGTAATTCTGTTGTTGTTATTCACTTCAAAACATTCCTGAGTTGTTACTTACAGGTTTTGCAGTCTCAAAACAAAACAAAAATCTGTCCCTTACTGGATTGAATTTGAATTCACCACATCCTTTGGGAAAACACCACATTATAACATACCAATCAACCTCATTGCTGTCAGCCAGGCATTTAAAAGCTTGGGAAATTGCTCAGGAATTTCTTTTGAGGGCCTTTTAATGTTTTTGACGTCTATCTGCGCTCATCACACTCTTACACAGCCAAGATTAGAGCCACTATCCCGTTTTCTCACTGGGAATAAAATACTGACTGTGAAAGTCTTAATAACAGAATGAACAACTTATGGCCTACAGGACACATGCAGGCTGCCAGGGCAATAAGGCAGACTTATTCCCTACATTCCCTCCTCCCAAGCAGTGTTTAAGTACAGCTCGCAGTCTGAAGGAACAGGCCAAGTGGCCCACAGCTCCTTTCCATGGCTATTTTTCCTGGAAGCTGAGCTCTCCAGCCCCATTAGGTGAGGGTGCCTCGGGTTCAGTTTGCATCAGAAACCCCAGATCCCTGAACACGCACAGGAAGATCATGCTGAGTGCAACCCCAGTGTAAGAGGCAATGACATACAGATACTGGAGTGATAGCAATCTACCAGGGAGATCAGGCAAGATCAAAGTACCCATGAGATGTCTACTGTTCTGTTAAATACAGCTTAACTTGATCAATAGATTAAATTGTTGTTAATGGGAAGGCTGAGAATCATACAGCATTTTCCTAAGGAAAAGGACAGCCAGCTTTCTGTCGGGAAGCTGGCTAAAGATAATGTTAACAGGAATTGCAAGGCCTTGCAGACTGGTATTAGTAATGTAAAGACTATTAATCACTTACAGTAGAGACAACTAAATAGTGCACTAAGTACCTCCTTAGCAGGATAAAGACAATCCTTAACTTCATGCATTTTCCTATACACAACTGAATAATTTATTCTCTAAACCTGCAAGGAATGCAGGGCCAGCAAGCACAGAAAGCTGACCAATCAATCTTATTTGTGCACACACACCCTGCAACAGCCTTGTGTCACACAGACATTTGAGACGCGGGTTGCACAGCTTGGATTTAAAAACGCCTGCCCTGTGTGCGGGGTGGTGGCTGGCATCATCACTGCCAAGGACTAGGGATGATTTTTAAGCTTACAGAGCCAGAACTGGAAGCCTCATGCAGCTGCTAATCAAATGCTCTGAGTTTATCAAAGGTCAAGATTCAGGTGATGGACATCAGGCAGACATGTATGGTCTAGGAGATACTCTGTCCAGTCGTCTAAGCAGGACTTCTTTACCACCAGGTCCAAGGAATATCAGCTCAAAGTCTTGCTCCTATTTTGGAAGTGGGTTTGTTCCATACCTTTAGGATGTACAGCTGTGCTTGGACACCCACAGCGCATCTGAATTTCTCAGCTCGGGTCATTTGATGTTCCTGATATTTACAGGAACAGAATTGCTGGGCTTTGCTTGTCATCAATAATACATCTATCCTATGAAGAACAAGAAGACTGTGATATAAATAAAAAAAAAAAAATTAAAAAATAATACATAAGAGAGGTTCATTTCTCTTTCAACTGCCTTAAAAAAAAAAGAACACCTTCCTTCCAGATCCATGTGGATACGTGTGGAGAAAGAGGATGAAACCTTTGAACAGTAACTGGTATAAATCTTTCTTCTCTGATCATCCCCTCTCTGACTCATAAATCTCCATCTACCAAGAAATGAGTGCACAGCTCTCACAAAGTGTAACACGCACCTAGAAAAGAATCACACTTAAAAGAAAGAAGAGAGATTAATGATGTGGAGCCATTTCCTTAATGAACAGAACAATTTTCACTTCCTATTCATCCTAATGAGTATCAATAAGTAACAAGAATAAGTAACAGGTTTGAATAGAACACAGATTAATTTAAGTTTAATGCACGTAAAGAGCATTATAATTGTATAATCCTGGAACCAGGATGGAAGGCTGAGTGAATGTTTTGGCTCCAAAGAGCATCTGCAGGTCCTCCCAACAATATTCCAGTGACTCCTACTGGTGGCCACCAGATCCAGCATAGCTGCTGCATCACTCACTACTGCACAGGCACCACCAGCAGGCACCAGCCCAGGTGCTGCATCCCAGGTCTCTGGACTCAAAATAGTGTTCTCTCCTGTACATCAAAACCAAATGAGTCTAGGAAAAAAAATCATGACAACTTGGAGCCTTTAAAAATAAGATCACGGCTCTTGTAATTACCTATTAGCAAAGAAAGACAGTGGATGTACCAAATCTGTCACGTAAAGCGCAGGCTAAGCTAACAATTTCTACATGTAATTATATTTTTTTCCATTGTCAAAAGGGGATAATCCTTCATTCTCAACGTTTCCACCACATTTTCCATGTAAAATTCCAATCAGCATCTCCTCTGCCTTTACTAGACAAAAAGAGTAAGTGTCAACGAGAATGGATTTCAAAATCAGTAAGTACTGCAGTAGTATAATTTGTCAAGATACAGAATTACTTATGATTATTTGCTCAATACAATACTGCAAACAACAAGATCCTGCAAATTCTTGCAATTTGCTTTTCAGGAAGATATTTGACCTTGTTAGCAGCAATTGTATGTTTCCTACTGTCTTAGAGATAGTAAATAAAAATTGTAGAAGACAATTAGAAGGCTTTTTAACTAAACAGAGAACAACCACTATACTGATTTGGTGCGCAGAGAGGGGGTTGTTTCATTTCTTTTTGCTTTGTATCATAAAGATGGTTTACTACTGCACGAAAAGTAAGACTGAAAAGACTGAAGCAATGGCATTCTTCCTTTTATGTTTATATCCATTGCAGTCTCATGTCTCGATGTAGCACAAAATCAAATATAGCTCTCCTAATTGTCCAAGCTACAGAACAATAAGCACTACGCAGTAGAATACAAGATCTAATACCGAAGGTGCTGACTGGGATTTCATGCTGCCTATATGTATTCACATAAAAAGAGATGCAATCACAAGAAGTGTGACTCATTTGACACCAGAGAGACATTTGCTTTTTAACAGTGCTTGAAAGGAATAGTATTGCCATATACTGCTCGAACAGCAGTGAGGCAAAAGCAGTAAGGGAACTGCTGCATTTTATGGTTTGTAGCAGTCATGTTAGAAAAACTGGTCTGGTCCTTCTCACCATGAAATCAGTTCTTATAAACCCAGTATTGCCCTCCACAGATCCTGAAGTTCAGCCACCAGGGTTGTAATTATTACATGCAAATCCCAAATGCAATGAAATAGATCTTCCACCAGCATCTAGTAAACAAGAAATAAGGGACGTCTAACTGGCAAGCAACAACTGGCACCCAGACATACCAGTCACACTGTGTCAAGGCTGCACTTGAAGACCAATACACACAGAAGACCCCAATGAATCAAACACGGAAAAAATGGGACTGCTTCCTAAGTTCCAATTCACATTACAGTATCAACAAGATTTTAAGCTGAATGAAAACACAAAAGTGTTTTTAGTTTTTTCGTGTCTTTCAGACAGTAATTGCAAGGTACTTTTGTCTTCAATTCCTGTACGTGGCTCAAACACACACAATGCTTCCATTCTTCATAAAATTAGACAGTTATGATTTCCCTTTATAAAAGTCCAAACAATGCCACATTATACAGTAACTTCTATACTGATGAAATATAAAGGTTTGTAATGATTATGAAGTTATTTACATTGCATTAGCAAAACTATCTTGCTAAATTAAGTTTTCCAATTCATCAGACCTTATTATGCTACTCAACCTCACTTCTTCCAAGAGTCAACCCTACTCACAGAATCAGATCACGCCATTTGAAATGCCATGACATTATTTTGTCACACAAAATGGTTGAAATTATCTCTATGAGGGCAAAGTAAGGACTGCTGCTACACAGAATTCGTTGCAAGAGGAGAAAGCTAAAAAGAGCTCCTGAAACAGATTCGAAATCTCAAAAGCAGAGTGTTTAAAAGCCATTAAATATCACAGGTCATCATAAAAGGGGAATCAGGGTTGTCCTGAATCATTTCAACAGAAATATTAAAGAACTGTAACATGATTTAAGATTATGGGACTTATTTTTATAGGCTGACGTAAATTGACTTGTTAATTTTTTTTTTTTTCCAACATCAAACAGTACAAACAAGATAACTGAAATTACTACCTCATATAATGACTTCAGTAAGAGCCTTGAAAATAACGGTTATACAAAGAGAAATAAGTTTGAGAGACTGAGTTACAAAAAAGAAAATAAAATAAAAATCACTCCAACAGAAATTTATCCAAAACAAAAAAAATCACTTCATGTTTGCACACACGTGCGTTGATTATAAAAGAAAAGTCAAACAAAGTTTTCAGAAAAAGCTGCTAAAAAGCACTTGGAAAAGATCCGTTTTGCCACACGTTACTTCTGGGCACACCACTGCTCACGGTGTGGTCAAAGACCCACTGCAAGCACACAGCTTCTCCACTTTACCTTATTTTCAGAAAACATGCCAATAAACATCTTTATTGACAACTTTACGTCCATGGGATTAAATGAGAGAAAAATCCACAAATTGATCTCTCTCATACTTCACAACAGCAGCAATCGCTCGCTTACAAGTCCCTGGCCAGAAGCAAATTAATGGACAAAACAAATGAATGCTAGACAGTTCTCAAGACATTACATTAACAAAGAAAGGTGTAGCGCTCCCTCACATCAGTAAAGCGCCATCTGACCTGAAGTGCAAGCTTTCATCACTAAAACACTTCCAAATTAAACTGTATCAACTGTCAAAGACATCTTCTATATGTGTCTTGTCCATAATCTTTTAAGAAGGCTAGTGAACTCTGAGTAAAACCACACATCCAGTCAATATTATTTACAGACCACTCTTTTCCTCTCCTGTTTCATACAAAGCTATGCAGCACTGCAGGATCTTTCAGAATTGATTTCTCCTGCAGACACTGCAAACAACCTTAAAAACATCCTCTCAAGCATAAACAGTGTAAAAATCATATCCTTCAGACCTGAAAGATGCTTTCACCAAGGCCTCGGGACTGTCCACAGGTGGCAGCTCATCTGCAAGGATCTCTTCAGGAGGTCTAGGGTCACTGATGATGGTGGGCTTCGGCCTTTCCTTGAGGTTGCCAGTCAGCCCACCGATAATGGTGTTCCACAAGCAGTTCTGTGATTTAGACCCTGCAGAAAGAGAGTGCAAAATGAAATCAACTCGTGTTCTCTGGTAACCCAGCAGACTAGAAAATGAAGGTTTCTTTGTCTGTTATCTTTTCTGCCTTTGCATCATCACATTTTGCAGTTAGGCCTGAAAACCTGAAATAAAGCTCAAGGTGGAATTATGTTCTAACATTCCTGTCACTTTAAAATCCAAAACTGTACTGACTGTACCAATTTTGGCTAGGATAGAGTTGGCTTTCTTCATAGCAGCCCATATGGTACCAGGCCTTGGATTCGTGACCAAACATTGCTGATCTCACACCAAGTTTTAGCTTTTGCTGAGCAGGGCTTACACAGTGTCAAGGCCTTCTCTGCTCCTTGTGCTGCCTCACCAGCAAGAGGGCTAAGAGAGAACACAGCCTGGACATCTGACCCAAACTGACCAAAAGGAGATCCCATGCAGCGTGACACTGTGCTCAGCAATCAAAGCTGGGGAGAAAGAAGGCGAAAAGGGGGACATCTGGACTCAGGACTGTCTTCTACACTCCTGCTTTCCTGGAAATGGAAGAACACAGGAAGCTGCAAGTGAACTCTGTATTTTCCATTGCTTGTGTGTGCAGCTTTTGCTTTACCTATTCAACTCTTTAGCTCAACCCAGAGATATTCTCACCTTCATCCCTCCAGTTCTGGTAGAGACTGATCTATGCAGGGATTTGCTGTCTGCCAGGGTCAGAACACAATGGCCTCCCAAAGAAAGATCTGGTTATAGAACAAGTTTCATGTGACAATGAAAAGCTCCCTCTTCACATTCTGCTTGAGCTATAACTTCACATGTATTGACGTGGCAGTATCTCAAATGAAAGAACTAACAGAAATCCAAACTGAACAATCAATACAATATGAACTGTTAACTTTCACTGGCTCAAGTTAATGAAGTTTAATAATTAGGACTGATATTAGAAAAGGTATTTACTTTCTATTGAAAGTTCAGCTTTTTCCAACAGACATTCAAATGCCAAAATACATCTGTGGATAAACTGTTTACATTTACTTAGAAGTGTCACTGGGTGCCCTGTCACTCACAGATCCCACCCTTGTCTGTAATTTCATTGACAAAATACAGTTATTATCCTTCAGTCGGATCTCCTTCTGCCTTTGGAGCAGAGAATATGAGACTTCCATAAAGTTCAAAAGAGCAAGCTTTATACTTTCAAAATTTTCCAAATAGCTTCTGAATAAATTGGGCACTTCTACAAACCCCACTGATACTGCCATACTGAACACCTGCACACATTCTAAGCTTAAAGCATTACAGAATACGTGCAGATGGGCCAGCAGTTTCCAAAAAGAGCAGTTAAGTGCTGAAATACAACTATTTCAGTTAAGAGACTTTCCACAAGCATTAAGCTTACTGGATTCCAGGGTAGTAGTAAGACAAACCACCTCTTCTGCTGGTCATTCTGCACGGGCATTTTATTATTGTGCAAAACAAACAAACAAATCTGACAAATGGGATATTTTTGAAGTCAGCAACTGATTTTTTTTTAATAGCAGACTGTAAAGGCAAGACTATCTGGAACTCAGCTGTCCAGCAGAGCAGCAAATAATGGATCTAACATATATGGACTAAGCATACTACACACAAAGTACGTGAAAGATGAAACTGCTCTGATTAGAGGAATTGCTATCTCATGCCTCATGAGAATCCATTACAAGAAAACACTCTTTAGAAGCAACAATATCAGCTGCAACAAACAGGTAGTAGCAGCAGCAGTAGTCTGCTAGTCGTCCTATGTCTTCTTTTTGCACAGCCAAAATGGCACAGATATAGAAGAAAAAGGAGAGGAGAGAAAGAAGAAAAACCAAGAATTCATGTTTATCTCCTTCTTTCCAAAATACTTTTCAGAATATTTTCCAGATAACAAAGAAAGCTTGATATTCATGCTTCTCTGCTCTTAGCTGTCAGCAGCTATTTAATATGCAAAGACTACAACTACCCAAATTTACAGGTTGCCTTGGTGTTCCATGTCAAGTCCTAACAATAGCTAGAAAATTAATAGCCACACCAGGTAGTCCAAAGCCAAGTAATCTGTATGCAGCAGCTGCAGAATTGAACACAGCATCAACACATCTTTATCATTCAAGGATTTGTGATGCTATGCTACAGTACTGCTTCTGTGCTCAGGGTACCACTCAAATTTCTCAAAAAATTAAATAGGTAAGCATTTGTGGTCCCATTTCATCGGCAGAAATACAAGGAATGCAAGATGTTTAAATTATGTGATGGACCAAACAAGTCATCTGCGATAGAGCCAAACGTGCTGTGATTCCCTATGATATGTTGAGAGGACCATCTCTTCTGCACAAGAGTAGCATATGTTGGTCAAAAATATGGTCCACAAAGAAAAACAAATTGTCATCCAGCCACAAACACTGCACACCACTCACAGAAAAACTGAGATCACGTTTTGTGGAAATGCAGCTCTCAAGCCACATTCACAATTTTGAGACTTTCTCCTGCAATTATTCCAAGGGATCTGCTGAGCTTCCCAAACCCAGACCTCTTTATTTCCACAGATCTGTCTTTTATTCTATACACCCTCCAGCTTGACAGGTACAGAACACATTATCTATTTTCTGCACTTACTGGATGCAAACAGCTCACAACTCGTACTACCACCAAAAACTCACAGCGACACGTTAGCAAACTCTTACTGAAAACTATATAATCACTCACCTCAAACTTATTGCAATATACACTGTTTTCCCCAACAACCTTGGTACACAGCCCCAGCCCTTTTCTTCCAGCACAGAGGTTCCTTCAGGTAGTTCTTTTTTATGATTTGATCTAGATAAACAGCTCTCCTGAAAAATGAACATCAACAAATCTGCCAACTAATATGAATCAACTAGTTTTGTTACAGCAATGAAAAGCCATGTTCACCTACCCTAATCCACGTTTAGCCTGCCCACAGTTATAGTGTTTTCCTTAATAGGCCTGACTGACCAACCACCAGCCAAAAGCCTCCAGCTGCCCTGAATGCCTGATGGACCTAAATCCCCACAGCTGCAACTGTTACAGTACTGATGGCACAACATGGCTACCAACAAGATAACACAGCGAGATATTAGGCACGTTCACTGCTGCTAAAGGAGTAGTAACCTCTTAACAAAGTCTGCTGAATGAGCAGGAATTTGATGTTTGAATGGGATACTGACTGGCCCTAGCATCTAAATGAGTAACAACTCAAATTTAACTTCTAATCCTTATAATAAGTCTAAACACTTGCAACAGTTCTTTTCCCTCATTTTATTATACCCTTGGTGAGCTAGGGGCAAAAGCAAGATAGATTTAGGCATTATAATTTAAAACACAGAACTCTGCTTAAAGAATCTGTGGTATATTTGACCTAGTAGATGTTCAAATACTTTCATATACTCTGAAAATATTGTTACAATGCAAGTCTGCCTATCTGGATAGCTACACAGCCATCATTCCCAGCGCTCCACTTAGCAGCAGCCTTTGTCTCTTCTTTGTCCTGAACTAAGCTGGAAACAGCCACATACCCCAGAGAGCTGTAGGGTAATAGCTGTTAAGGTCATAATGGGCAAAGCTCATCTGAATTTCTGTAGGATATCTGCCAATTGCTTCATTGTACAGAAAGGCAGATAAAGGAGATAAGGAAGGCTAGCCTAACTGCAGGTGTGCCAAACTCTGAGTTTTGCTATGGACCACAATTTGGCAGTAGAGGAAGTACTGTTCTCTGTTGTGAAGATGAAGTTACTTCAAACTAATCATTCAAGTGAATGTGAAAGGCCACATCCTAAAAAAACACCCGGTCTCTGGTTTGTGATTCGTATGCCAATGATAAGAAGCTATCTCTTCAGTTACTGCTTAACTCCTTGTCCTCAAACGCTGCCAATTTCTATGCCATTCAGCCAGGACGTTTTTGAATGTTTCATCTGCACTCTACTGACTGTTCAATGAAAACACAGCATAGCAGAATAGACAGAAGTGTTCTCAGCAAAATTTTAGGTACTATTAATTTAACTCAGCACATACCTACGATATTAATGTTCCTGCTTCAGCAGGGGGATTGGACTGGATGATCTGTCGAGGTCCTTTCCAATCCCTGAGATTCTGTGTTTCTGTGATTTCCCTTCCTTTTCAAAATAGTTCCCATTCTTATTTTCCTTCCTATTCCAACAGTTATCTTCCCATCGTGTCAGGATCATTCAGTCCTTTTTCATTGTACCCTATATGTCACTATGCTTTTTAAACTTTGTTTAGCTGTTAGTTTTTGTTTGTTTGTTTGTTTAATCTGCTTATGGCATGACTTGCCTCAAATCCATTCCAAGTTGTATATTTGTTTTCCAATAAAAAATTACCATTTTCCCATCCTGTTTCAGCGCATCCTTGAATTATTTACAAGATTTGTTCAGTGCAGTCGCTGCTCTGTGTTTCAGTATGCAGCAGTTTGATTTGCTCATGGCTTGGCTGTCTTAAGAGTTTAGAAGGTGAGAACTTAGACCTAAACTCTGCTTCTCTATTAATACTGCTGACTTGAAGATGCTTTCCTACTGGTAGTTTAAAATGTGTTTTACAGTCTTCTCTGGAACCTAGTGCTTCAATATACTTACTGTACTGTAGTGACTGTCCATGCTCACTATCTGTAGATACTGTGAACTGGATACTGACTTAGTTCAATAGTTAACCTAAAATTAAAGTGCCTTCTTCAGTCAACTAAACCTGTTTGCTTTTGTTTTTCTTTTTTTAAATAATGTTTTTTAATCATATTTGATGTATTTGTACTTACAGAGAACATGAAGAATTAGGACACGTGGTCAACCTGATTGCAGAAATACTTAAATCAAGTGTTCATGGTCACTGATCTCCAAAGGCACAGCTTCTAAAGAACTGCAAGTATCTCTGTTCTTCCAAAGGAGGCTTTGTCAAAAATGTTTAGATTACCTGCATCAAAATGCCCTAAGTTGTTGTTTGTGCAGTTGGATTCACAGTTCACAGAAGTCAAATATGGCAGTTAGGGTTTACCTACTACAAAACGTGTGTCTGAAAAACCACTTACCCAGCACTCATCCTGTGGTCTAGCATCCTGGACATAAGATATTCGCTTTTAACTGGTATAGGATAAGGAGAATTTGACAGGGCACCAGAATCACCATCTGAGACTCTGAATTTTAGTACTACTGGAGGCGTCACTTCTAGAGGTAAGAAATGCAAACAGGAGCTGATAGGAAGTTGTATTTCCCAATTCAGTGTCCTTCAGCAGCCTGCATTTTAAACCACAGTCTTCTATTACAACTCAGCATTTGGAAGTGCCTAGCTTAGAGTAAAAAAGAAAGGGTTCCCAGACTTCCAAGAGACTGCCTTGGCCAAGATGATTGCCATTCATACAATCAGTGGGTAGAGACAGTGGATGGGTTGAGAAGACAACCTTTACACTGCTGCTCACAATACAGCATTTTGTCACTGGAATCAAACCTGCTCTCTCTGTTTAATGTAAGTGTTCAAATTACTGATATCTAAATGAAATGCTTGATTTCTAGGTCAAACACTGAAGTCTTGTAGTTAAACTATAAATTGGTGGTTGTAGGCTTTTTTTTTTGTTTTCTGCAGAACGGGAGGAATATCTGTTCAGAGGTATAGGTGGTAAATAAGTGAAAAGTAATGGCAATCAGCACAATTTTAAAGAGAGGAAGTACCATCTGAACAGGAGAACACTTGTATGTGTTGTACAGAGAGGCTGTGAAGTTTCTGCATGTTCAAAATTCAACTGAGAAAATGCTGGGCAAGTGATTCTAGCTGACCTTGAGTAGGATTTTGGACTAAGCAATCTCAAGAGGTCCAGTACAATGACTCTAGAGTCACAGTGCCTTCTAGCTTTGTAGGACTGCTGTGGTGTGCTGCATTTGATGAGAACAGCCACCACCTGAAGGAAGATAAGCAATTGCTGTTATAGCCTGATAAACAGCAATAGAAGTCATCGAGAAGGACTATAGCTATTAAATAAGGTGACAGCAGCAATGAGAAGATACTACAGCAGTATGTCTTCAAGACTGTGAGAAGGCTGTGAGCTGTCCTGAAAATACTTCCCTTATCAGCTGCAGTTGTGGATTTTCAGTGGAGGAATATTTAACTGGATAAGGAGCAGGTGAGCTTGCTGGTTACTAAAATACAGCCAATAAATTGAGGACAGCTAATGGATAGAGTTTCCCAGAGAAGCTGTGGATGCCCCATCCCTGGAGGTGTTCAAGGCCATGCTGGATGGGGCCCTGGGCAGTCTGATCTCATGGGTGGCAACCTGCCCATTGCAGGGGGGTTGGATCTCAATGATCTTTTAGGTTTCATTCAACCTGAGCCACTCTGTGATTCTATGATGATTCTTTCATAAGCTAGTTGGATTCTCAGTCTGACTCCAGAATCACTAAATTAAAACCCTAACAGTGAAAGTCTGCTTTACACTTTGAATGATTCTCCTCCTTCCCTACACTGTTGTTGTGTTTTTTTTTAATGTACGTGTTCCCCCCTGCACTTCATTTTCAACACTCCGAGCACCTTGAGGCCTTGATCTCACCTCCTCCCTTAATCCCATGCAGCACTAGGTTGTAAAACAAGGCCCTACAATGGAGGTGTCTCTATTTTCATTCACCTGACAGCATCCACTAGTCAGTTCTCTTCCATGTAATGCAAGTTAGCCCTACCTCCACAAATATGTCTTGGCAGCCTTCTGGAGAGCCAAGATTAGAGCAGTAACAGAACTTGTTTGCTCCTGGGCCTCAGACTTAAACTCTACAGACAAACACCAAAAAACAATAATCTTACAAGCAGCCAATCCAAACTAAAATGCCAGTGCAGTTTACAATGATGTGACATTACAGTTGATGTACTAGGCAGGCAGTATTCAGCATCTAGTCCTCATAACCTGAACACCTTGGAACAAATGGTACTTGGGTTGAATCTCCCAACCTTATAGCTAGAATTCAGGAACCATAACAGACAAAAGCAAAGCGATAAAGAGCTCAAAACATCCGCATTTCCATTTACATTGCTATCCTTTGTGAATTACTTCATCATAAGCATTTTCAGCATTCAAGCAGCTGAATAACAGAGCCCTCTTTTAACCTTCATGGCCTGAAGCATGAAGGAAAATAAACCCTAAATCAGGTATACGGAATGCGAGTACAATTTTCTTAGTCCTGCTCAATCTGTTCCATCACGTCATAAGTCACTACACGTGGCAGATTTACAGCCACAATCATTTCGTCCGTGCCCTCCACGCTAATGCTTGTGTGAGGTACGGTATGTCCCCAGCGCCATCCTGTGCCGATGCGAAATACTGCACCGGGACGTCAATCCCAAGGGCAAGTGCCCTCTTTTAATGATGAGAATGAGATTTTCTCGCCTAAGTGCTCACTAAGCATCATGAAATTCCATGCGTTATAAAGAGGATTTCCTATCTTCCTCCTCTTTCCTATATATTTCATCATATTTTTAATTATCCGTATGGTCAAATTCACGTGCAGTTGGTGCTACGGTAGCAGATGCATCCTTTTGTTCAAACCTGGAGCACCTATTTCAAAACCCAAGTCATATATTTAGTTCCCAACCCTGCCACGTGACGTAAATGGTGATGAACTATCAGTATGACTCGAATACACTTTGCACTGAATATAGTATGCAATTTCTATGGCTTAACAAAAATCTCTGTAGCCTCTGCTGCCAACTTCAGCTGCCTTTCTGACACAGACTGACAACCTTTTATGCTTGGAATGACTGTATAGCCACAAAGCCTTCCATTCTTTTAAATTCACATCAATGCTGTTTAGTAAGACTGCATTTCTGTAAAACACATTTCCTGTGAAGTACTATCGTGCTTCAGTTCAGTACTGTAAATGAACTGTAATGATAGGGTTGC